AAGGATTTATTCAGGTAGAATTCATTGGGAAAAAAAATCTATTCGTTAAGTAATAAATGGAAACTGAAAATTTTAATTTAAGAATAAAAGAAACATATATTTACACTTTACATGTCTTTCAAAGTACATATGTAAAAAGAGATATCTTTGCCTTTATATCCTTTATAAATTAATTTATAATTTACAGTACAAAGAGTTGTATTTCAAATTTTATTTGTTAATTCATATTCTGAAGGTAATTCTATCTGATTGCATATTTTCCAGAATCAGACAATCCAGAACTTAAAATTGTAGTATTTTGTAAATTAGCCATTAGACTGCCAAAAAGGATTTTTTTTCTTCACTTTAATAGCTTAGTTAGCAAGAGTAATGAAAATGAATATATATTGACCATTAGCAGCCTAGCCCGAGGGTCTTTCATGATAGGGAGTAAGATCTTGTACATCCATTCATGAACTTCAAAAATAAGACTATTCTTTATGGAAAAGTTTATATTAACTCAGAACTCTTGTCAGAAGGATGACTGGACAACACAGGAAGAAGATATGAACACTGAACATTGACTCAAGAGGCTGACCTCCCATCTTTAAAGCCACATAAATAGAATGCTAATTCAAACATATAAGGAAAAAATTTAAATATTAAAAAAAAATATTGCAGTTCCCATTCTTTCTTTCCAGCACTATACAGGAAAGGTCTTAGCACGATTCAGGTAGCAGTGTTTTTTCCTGACAATTTGTCATCTCTCTGCAGTAGCCCAGGCCAGACAATAGACTTATAGGGACTGTTTAGGGTACAATAACAAAATCTTGAAAGACTGGCACTCTCTTCCTGATTTTACACCAAAGAGAAGCAAGGTGGGTTAGTTTGAGTTTCTTTATCATTTTTTCCTCTTTTGGGGGGCTAAGCTGAGTTTACATAACTGCCTTTTCATTCCTCTTTTCATTCTTCTCCTTTTTTATTTTTTTAAAAATTATTTTATATTCCATCTTTTATTACTTTTACAAATAATTCAAGGCAGCAAACACCTTTGTTCTCCTTTTCCCCTCATAACAACCTTGTAAGATAAGTTGAACTGAGATAGAGACTGGCCCAAAATCACCCAAGTGGCTTTCAGGGTTAAGGTAGAACTTGAATTCATGGTCTTTTACTTTTTAGCCTGATGACTTAACCACTAAACCAAAAAAGCAAATATTGCCATTTTTCTACTTTTACTCCTATTGTGTAAAAATACAGAAACTCCAGTGATAAGATTAAAATACAAAGAAATAACTTGCAGCCTCTTTTCCCTTATATCAGTTGGTTACTCAAAATCAGAGCCTTAATAGCATTATTGTACAGTTTTAAGGTGTTCATAAGTATTCCAGAACTAACTTATTCCTTATGGAATAAGCAATAGTTCAGAAGATATATATCAAATCAAACCAAATCCTGGAAGCAAAGTCTTTCACCTTTTCCAAAACTTTCAAGATCCTAAACATGATCCCATGTAGATTTTTTAAAAACACAACTTTTCTTAAAATAATTGTCAATATTACCATATTCCCTCACAGTGTAAATAGCCTATCGCAACATTTTAAATAATTTTTGACATGAAGACGTATGAACACTTTAATTTCTCAACATATGGACAGACTTAACCATAGTTTCAACTGGGAAATTGTGACCACCTTAGACCAAGCTGAGAGAATTCCTGGAAGCCTGACACTCTGACAAATTTGCCATCAATAGACACATAGACATAAACAACATTTACATGCTGTGCAAAAGAGTACCAACAGAGACAATCAAGAAGCCAAAAAGGGAACAAAACACCAAAACACCTTCCACCAGGAATCAAGACCCAGATGAGCATAGATTAACACCAAGATTAACATCAGACCAACAATCAAGAAGTAAGCAATTGAGAAACTCCAAACAAGCTAGCCCAATCAAAGAACCTCCAAGACCACTTCCACCAATATTGAGAGGGCAAACCACTGGAATATAAATTGAAGACAAACGTCATTCCTTACTAGCACTGAAGATGTTACCTAATTTGGGTAAAGAGACATCTGAAAAAAACAACCAAGCTCAGAGAGCATCAAGGATCCCCAGTTCAACCCTGAGCTACAAAATATTCTCCTTCAAATAATCCCTGTCTATTTTTAACACATAATTTTTTGGCAAATACAATATCAGCTTCTTGGTAATTCAAACTAGCTGAACCCTAGTGTGAGGCCCAGAAAACTGCAATTTAGTTTCAGCATCTTGAACATTTCCAGGTGACTGACAAAGCCATCAGAAGATAAAAAGCTGGGATTTAAAAATCAAGTTTAAGGAGATGTTAAGTTTGATTAAAAATCCCAAATTTTTATGGTCTGCTAATAAGGCAAGAGGTAAGAATGCTTAATAGTCCAATGATCACAGGATCTCACATAGTTTTCACATATACATCAGTGGTGGGTTGTTCCGGTTCGGTCCAGTTCTTGCGAACCGGTAGTAAAAGCGGCGGGAGGCTCCACCCACCCACCCAGATGTCATCATGGATGATCTGTGCATGCGCAGAAGCGCAGATCCCATTGCGAACTGGTAGTAAAGGTAAGTAGAACCCACCCCGATATACATGTATGTGGTAAATAATAACAGATCAGGAAGGAAGGAAGGAAGGAAGGAAGGAAGGAAGGAAGGAAGGAAGGAAGGAAGGAAGGAAGGAAGGAAGGAAGGGCAGGTAGACAGATTGATAGATTGCCATTCTTTTCTCATTTTCTCATTTCCACCCTGCCTGTACAAACTCAGCAGGCCTCTGGATACAGCAGTAGTCTGTTGAACCAACAGTTTTTCTACCACTAGGCAGGTAGAATGATCTGCCCCAAAGCTACAACGCTTAACCAAGTCTTTCAGCTTTTGATCAATTATTCCTGTTGGAAATATCTTTGTGATTACCAATCTCTTTCAGCATGGTGTGTGAATTTACACACATCGCTGTTTCACCTGTGTTTTAAATAATCAACCTCATTAACTCTAGTCATTAGTTTTTTTCTCCATAAGAAGCCCCATGAGCACATCCATAAATAAATGCCCCTTTATAAAGCTATGGAGCTGTAACAAAATTATGAATAGATTAATGAAAAGGGTTGATGTGGGTGTTTTATGTTTTTAAGTATGAATGGGGGTGGGGGAAAAGTCGTACCTGAGCTGCAGTTCATCGCTTCACAATCCTTTCTGAAACTGTATCCCTACTTTGGTTTCTATAGCAATGGTGACGCACAGGTTTCCTTCATGATGGGAACTTTAGTGCGGGCTCAAGGTGTATAGTAAGTGGCTGTCACTCTTTTTTCTTAACTTAACCTCATAGGTCATTCCCATTTTTTTAAGGAATCAAATGGGTTCCTAACTAAAGCTATATAAAGGATGATCAGCCTTTGTCACTTAAAAAAGCCAGACTTCTAAACAGCTGCAGTCAGTTATACTTTGAAGCTGAGAGGCATTTTAACTATTAATTGGACAGGTGGAATTTTACATGCTACCTATAGACTGAATTTCTATCAGCCAAGCGGGGGAAAAAGGACAAGTGTATTTGGAAGAATGAGATGTGCTCATTTTGGAGATGAATTAAATGTACAAGAGTCACAGAGAAAGATCAATAGAATATTTAGAGACTAAAGAAGCTAAAGTAAGACACCTCTAGGCAATACTTTAGATAACTAAATGTCTATTATGTCTGCAAATCTGACAAAACTATATAAGATGAACCAGCCGCATAAGAACTAAATGCTATGAAAAGAAACAGAAACAGTGTTTGAAAATGACTTGGAAAAACTCCCAGAAAATTTATGGCTGGCAGGAGCTTCGTAAAACTCGAATCCAACAAACTGTACTGTGAACTAGAAACATTGCATAATTTGAAATACATTTCTAAGTTTTTCCTACAGGGCAGACCCATGTCTAATTCTCATGGGGAAAGTCAAAAACATATAGACGAAATAAGTTATTTATAGATAGAGAAATTTTTTTGTGCCTGGGAGTGCAAGTGCAATATAACTGCAGGTAAATATGTTTTGGGGAAACGTTTCCTAGAGAAAAGGAGCCAGGATTAATAAAGAATGCCTTCCAGACATAGCTAAGTCAAGACCAACAGGTTGTTTTAGTTAGATTGCTATTGCCTTGGAGGGGGATTCTTCTCCTTTTTTTTTCTTTTTGCCCTTCCTCCCCACCCTACCAGGAAGGGGTGCAGACAATATGCTGATAACCAAGAAATAAACAATTTTTATTTCTGGAGTGTCCATTGACTTGGCATGATGAACATGCGGTGACAGAGAGATGCTTCACATCTCCAGTGAAGAGAGAACAGGACAGATGTTATCAACCGCTAACTGATGAGTAGCAGGTGTGCAATACGGGAGGGGCGCCTTTGCAGTCACACTGACTCCAGGAGTGGCCCTGGATGACTTTCACTCAAAGGGAAAGATTTATCTGAGTCAGAGAGTTAATTACACAACAGCAGCAACCAAATGAAGCAATAGCTTTGGCACGGTGCTCAGGCCCACATGCGTTACATTAATGCACATACCTGTAACAGCAATGCTTCCTGCCCAAGTGGGAGATTTACCTCCGGGAAGAACAACAGACACTGTTACCGCCATTTTCTCATCATTAGTTTCCAAAAAGTCAAGCTTCATTACATGAGGAAAGGCATTGTTGTTTTTAAACAGTAACAATAATAATGTCATGATTCCCCAGGTTTTCTTTTCTTTTTCCTTTCTTTCTTTTCTTTTCTTTTCTTTTCCTTTTTTTTTCTTTTCCTTTTCTTTAGCAGCAAAGCAAAAATTGTGTTTTATTGCTTTAGAGCTAGTGAGGCTGCAATTTCAGAAAGGCAATTTAATGTTAACTATGGCACACGAAGTAATGGAACAGGCAAGGGCCATTCTCAATTATATTTCAGTGCAGGTGGGATTCAGGTAAATTACAAGTTCAGGTAGAAGGCAGGGAGAAAAAGCCAAAGTGAATTAAAGTTCTACCTTGGTGAAGCTTCCAGCTGGTAGCCATACACATAATCACTTGTGTGGTATTTCTCATACTCTAATTTGTGCTCTGGTACTAAGGCCCACTTCTTTATAACTGCCTATGTGCATTTTATGCATTTTAAGCCATTATAAATCTTCTTACTCTGACATTATTATATGGTGCAGTGGTATGCACATTTCAACACTTTATGCAAAATCTTTAAAATGGCCAAATCACAAGGAGGCCAAGGACAGGCATTTACTGTGACTGGTATCAAGGAAGAAGCAAGAAGCATTGTGTCAGCCTTCGCTTTTTCTTTACTTGCTTGCTCGGCTGCCATTGTAACGGGGGGAGGGGGGAGCTATTGGAATGTCTGGGAGGGGGGAAGTGAGCTGGTGGAGAAGAGCAGAGAAAATTTTCTTCAGCATTTTCTTTGAAGCTGATAACAACTCAAGGTCGACCGACGTGGCACAGCAGGAGGATGGCACCATCGGACGTTGCACCCCACATGACCCCTGGGGAAATGTGGATTGGATAATTTTCGCTGGACGGTTAGGGGAAGAGTTTTGGGGATGCTTTCTATATGTAATTTTCATGCCTTTTGCCTCAGACCTTGCTTTTCTTTGGTTGCATTCAGTTCATACTCAGTAAAAGTACTTTTCTCTATGAAAATGGAGTCAGGGTTTTTCTTTCTTGGGTATTGAAAGGAGACATTGGGGTTAAAATAATAGACAAAAATAAAAAATGTGGTCTTTTATAATACTTTCACACTATGAAAAGGCAACTTAGTTCAAATGTATTTTTTGTATATGTATATTTCTTCCCTCCATGACAGATATATATCAAATATTAACACAGCTGCCTGCAATTTCTGCAGGTTCGAATCTTACCAGGCTCAAGGTTGACTCAGCCTTCCATCCTTTCTAAGGTAGGTTAAATGAGGACCCAGTTTGTGGGGGCAATAAGCTGACTTTGTATAAAATATACAAAAGTATGAAGGCTATTGCTTAACGCATTGTAAGCCGCCCTGAGTCTCCAGAGAAGGGCGGCATATAAATCAAATTTAAAAAAAAATAGTCTGTGATTTGAGCGGTATGTTTGGGGAATTGACCACTGACATGGTCTTTATTACCATCATTCCAATACCACAGTCAGAAGGGATTCATCACAAATTCAGATGTCCCAGTTGTCTCTTTTTTATTTATTTTTTAACTCCAGAGCAGAACTTTCAGAAACCTGCGCTATTCATGGATTCATATATAGTGGTACCTTGATACTCATTGTTAATTGGTTCCAGGAGGTGTGATGAGTACCAAAAACGATGAATACCAAACATTTTTTTCCCATAAAGAATAATGTACAAGCCACAAGCCATAAGTTTTAGCTTATGCATTGAGTACCAAACAAACAATGAGTACTGGGATGAAATTTTCACATCAAAATGCATTGAGTACCAAATTTGATGAGTTTGAAAGCAGCTGAGTACCACTGTAAACCTCAGGAGACACATCACAGTGCTTTCCTATTTCTTCTTTTTCTGATGTTTTCTAAGAAGTTGGTTTCTCAGTAGCTCCCTCCTGACTTCTGTATGACTCCTTCCACCTCAAGTGCTCCTCAAATTTTTTTCCCATTCACATTGAATATTCATTTGATGATTGGCTAGTTAACTTCTAAAGAGCTTGTAATCAAATAGAAGGATAGAAGTAGAACAAATTCCTGGAAAGTTATTTTCTTGTCTTTCAGTGAAGTATAGGATGAAGATTGAGGAAGGAGAGATGGTTTGCAAGATGAGGGTGCTCAACTGCAATGAAGAAGAGACCTGTAAGTGAGCACTATGGTCTATCAAAAAGCCTGTAGTTTGTGAACATGAGCAACCACATTTCCAGCTAATTAAAGTGAAACATAGTTGCATGAATTTCAGAGTTGGAAGCCACCCCCCCCCAAAAAAAGGTATAGAAATAGCAAAAGAAATAAACTGAATTTAATCCCATTTGCAAGGCATGGATAACAGATCTGCTGGTCATCTGGAAGTACCCATATTTAGCATGTAAGAATTGTAATTAACAGAATAATTATTGAAATAAATTAGTAAGGTTACAAAGCAAATACCCCCAGAAAGTATTATTACAGATTGACTGCCACTAAAGAGAACCAACCTTCCTTCCTTCCTTCCTTCCTTCCTTCCTTCCTTCCTTCCTTCCTTCCCATTCTCTCTGTTCCTCTCTTTCCCTTTGTCCTCTAATATAGCTATAACATTGGTTGCTAAAAGGAAAAGCTGAGTGGCATCCAATGAAGAGAAGGCTTGGGGATGACATGATAGCTGTCTTCCAATACTGCTGTCACAGGGAAGAGGGGGTTGATTTATTCTCCATAGTACCTGAAGGTAGGACGAGAAGCAATGGGTGGAAAGTTATCAGAGAATGCCATAGAATAATGAATCCTGCCTTGGACAGGGAGTTGGACTAGAAGACCTCCAATGTCCCTTCCAATCTATGATTCTATTTTTATTTGGACCAGCCTATTTCATCAGCAACTTTATTCAAGCCAGCATCATACTATACTTGGTTTCCAACAGTAGAAAATATGAGCAGACTGATAAAAACCACTGTACTTAGAACTGATGTGATGTGATAGTGTTTGCAGTATGTTATTTGGAAAGGTCAATTAACAGATACACATAAGTCATAATTTGAAGCTGTAGTTTTTTTTTATCTTCAACGAAATGTTGGGAGAGAACTTGGGCATTCATATTAACACAATCTATCACACAATTGAGAATTCTAATAAAATAACATTCTACCCTTAAGAGCTTCATCTTCTTATCATTCAAATTAGCAAAGAACAAAAGGACATGTGACTAGCATGCTCACGCCCACATTTCATCTATATTTGTAGCCCTTATATGGACAGGCTACTCAATCTCCTATCTGTTGGGAACAGCTCAAATCCAAACAGAATAAAGTTTTCCCTTGTCAATGTATTAAATGAAATCTATATTACAGTCATAGAACAGCATACCAGTGAATATGTGTCTCCATAATCAACTCCTCCACTATTTAAAATAACAAGTATTAGATTATTTTAGACAACAATATAGATATATTTACTGCTGCATAATACATGTATCAAACATAGAAAAATACCATGTCAATCAACAGCCTATGTTTAAATATTGGTTTTAACATATTAGGTTAACCTGTATAATAGTAGATGTCTTATTTTTGTTTTAGATTTATCTGTGTGAAGGTATTCAAACAAGACATATCCTACTTGTAGTCTGAAATAATACTGTTCAGAAAAGTCTTTGCTATTTGAAGCCTAAGAAAGCAATCTGAGTTCAGTGTTCATTTGAATTTACCCATAAGTTGTATTGGCCCATTGTTTAAGAAGTGTGAATGTAGCTGTGATTCAAAGTACAATATTACAAAGGATATTTTTAGCTAATATGTACCAAATTTTCTAAAGGCAGTAATTGTAACACAGTCATAACTCTTTGAAATAAAAAATTATGACTCTTATGACTAAATTAAAAAAAAAATTGACTGTGACAAATCCGTAATTTCTCTTCTGACACATGACTAACCCTAAGGCTAACCAACACAACAAATCATTCTTCTTGCAAGATATCCAACAACAGACTAGGAGTGCTTGAAATATGCATGTTAATAAGTTATTTAACATAAAGTAATATATAACCACATAAATCACAACATTTGCAAAGTCAACAATATGGCATTGCTTCACACATTATGATTATCACACTGTCTGCTTTTACCAGGGAGATCATATGGGAACATTTTTTCCCTGACTCATTAGGAAATCATCAGGAGATCTCAGATGGCCACATAAACATATGTTTTCCTTCAGCAGAAAATAAGAACACTATCACAGTAGTTTCCTTTTGAGACTCTTGCTTCACACACACACACACACACACACACACACACACACACACACATACATGCCATATGGGCTTTCTTTAAATAGTCATCTTGCAAAATTATTTGCCTTACAATGAGTATGTATTATTAGCCATAATCAGGATGAGCAGTTACTTCCAGCCCCAAACCAGCTTAAGCAAGGAAGAACTTCTGGAATTGAAGGGAAAATACATAATCCTAGCAATGAACTATTCTATCATCATAGACCACTTGTTCTTTTATTTAATTTATATGCAGCCAATCTCACTTTGTTCATTCCCTTAAAAGGAAAAAAAACAAAAGTCCTCCCTGTACTTCACCTTTCAACTTTTTATTCATTAACGTTGTAACTATCCTTTCCTCCAGGAGCTTATTGTGGGGTGTGTGTGTGTGTGTGTGTGTGTGTGCGCGCGCGCGCTGGAATACATTGTTGGAATGTATTTTGTGCAATAACTACAGCCAACCAGTAGATAGCAGTGGTTATACGTTTGCATCTATGGTATACACTCTATATCTTTTTGTTCTGAGAAGTTTCCTGTTTCCTGTTGCAGTTAAGCTGAAAGGCCCATGTCGACTGTGCACTTTGTTAGTTCTGTAGGGCTATATGCAGAGTTTCTAACAATATATAGTTCCTTGGTTTTATTTTGCTCCATAAGAAACTCTTGAGATAGGTTGACTGAAAGAGAGAAAAATTGGCCCAGAGTCACCCAGTCTAACTTCAGTGGCTGAGGACTGACTTGGGTCTAGGCCTTCTTTATAGGTTTCCAATATTTAATCACTACACCATACTTTTTAATATCTGCATTAGAATACAACATTTAATGAAATCCTGTTACATTCTGTTCCAGTGAACTTTGTACTTGATTTTTTTTAATTTATTTTTGCCAAGGAAAGAAAGTCTCCCTACAGGAGAGACACTTTATTTGCTGTTCTTCATCTGAAGGTCTTCATGGATGATCACACCATGTTTTGTCCTGAATGTTTTTTGATGCTGGGTGATGATCCTGCCTCCTCTTACCTGAAAGCATTCCCTCCAGGAGCAGATATAAAGTCATCCTAAAGCTGGAAAGGGGCATTTAATCCACCTTTGAGTTAAACTTAACTTTTGGTGATTTCACAGATGTGCAGATAGTCCTTTACTTACAACAATTCATTTAGTGACTGTTCGACGTTACAATGGCGTTGAAAATAGTGACTT